TGTACGTTACATGTTGCATTGTGTTCACTGGGTCAGGATAAAAGGATCCTCCGTAGATTGTTATTTGACAAATTATTTTAATATTGTTTTCATGATTTATTTAACTTACCGAAACTGAGCTCCACGATACCACGTATAGCGCCTGCAGTGTTCTAATACTGTACGAAACATGCAAATAGTTGAGCTAACGTATATATTGCAACACAATGACACAGTGAAACTCTCAACTTCGGCTCAACATCTGTTGACCCCTCCTGCACCGCGCGACCCTTTAGACTCCTCGAGAACTTTGGTATCTCGAGGGTCCCTTCGTAACAAGTGCGCACTCTACCACCACCCACCGTGGAGATGAACCGATGTATCGGAAGCGTTGGTGCAAGAAGAATAGAAGGCGAGGGGCGTCAGTTTGCGGAAGATTGCCGAGTAATGCGATATGTAAACGCTTTCATGATAGGCGTTTCAAGTTTTTCTTTATATAGTAAAAATAAAAGACACATAAATACTGTATTTTCTCATTATTTTAGTATATTTGTCTTAACGTGTATAAGTTAGGAGATTCATATACACTCTTTATATAAATCTTGAAAATTTTTTAAAGAAAAGATATAAAATCGAAAAATAAATTGAATTTTTTAGATTGTGCTGTTTATTCAAAAACAATGTTGAGGCGATTTTTTTCGATGACTTGAGAAATATACATATTTCTCGCTGAAATAGCTTTAAAAGAAGTTACATAGATTATCTAAAAAAAAATCTAACACTTTATTCCAAAAATTTTTGTTAATTAGTTTATTTATTTAAAAAAAATTAATAATATAATGTTAAGGTTTTTCGAATATAAATGTGTCAATAATTTTCTAAAGCAGTAAATAATTTTCAATGAAAGGAAGATATTTTGCGTGTTTCCATTTGGCACTTAATCTATAAGGGGAATAAATATTAAAAATGTGAAATTATATTGTGATTTTTTGTGGATTACATGACACGGTTGTGTAAAATTCGTTGGTGACGTTAAAATAAATTACGTAAGCATTTTTGCGATTTATAAAACTATATTTTTAGCTCTCTCAAAGAATAGCCGTAATTAGAGAGAAAGCAACAAAACATATACGGGAGTTGCCCAACATTAGCCAAAAATATCCATGTCGCGAGTGTAAGAATAGTTTGGGACGACATAAATATTTTCGGAGTTACTGACCCGTCAAAACTCTCCAGAACTTCGTCGAGAAGCTGAGGCCTTCTAAGTATCGGCATCTCACGCAATCGGCACCTCTCGAAAAATATACTTTAGTTCTGACTCTACATGATCTTAATATATTCCTTGATAATGTCCAATCTTTTTCCTTATTTCTTTTTTGAATGATTATATTTGCATGTAAAATTATGCTATTCTTTTTCTTTAAATGCATTATATTATACATGAGAAATACTTCACTATACGTACATATTCTGTTGTATTAATGTAGACATATATCTTAATGGATGTGATTATGTATAATAGGATAAAAATGTAAGCATACATTTTTTTTCACATTAATTTGCTAATTATTGTACTTCGGTGAATTGCAACTTATATTCCGTCTCTGCCATATCAAAAGAATTAATCTGTTCTAAAAGTACTTACTGTTAAGACGCACATTTAAGAACTCGTGAATAGAGATATATATCATAATATAATTATTGTAGAATATTTATAATTGTATATATACAAATTATTGCAAAATAGAAATAAAAATATATAGATTATAATAAAGAAAGATGTATTTAGAAGCAATAATAATAAATAAAAATAATTGATTCCTTTAGTCCGTATAATATGGTTCTATTTCAAGCCATTTCGGCTACCTGAGTTGAATACTTGAGCATATTGATCACCTGATTAGCATTGTAATGTAGGATATTTTTATCGAGCTTTCGTACATACATATGTATATTTGAATTATTCTATTTTGGACAGATTTTATATATTTTTAATTAATACTTTTAAAATTATAAATATTTGAGAATGAAGAGCTGCTATATATCCTGTTATACATATATCTTCAGCAAAGATATGAAAAATTAAGCTTTAAAAATACTATCAGATGATAGAATTTCATTATTTGTTTAATTTTAAGTAAGCATTAATTAATTTTTTATATTTTGCTACTTTTAAAAATATTGAATGCTGTAAATTTGTAATTAAAATGATATATGATACATGATATATTACTATCTAATATGTTTTTAATACATATGTTAAATTAAAGTTTAATGTATATGTTAAATACAAAAACACATGACATTATTTGTCTGTTTCAAGATTTTGAAAAGATAGCGCGTATATATGACGTAAATTCGTAAAAATTATTATATATATTTATTTAATAATTATATACATAGATTATTAAAATAATTGTTGCATTTGAAAAATATGAACAGTTTATATATTTGAAAAATGGTTTATATATTTGAAAAATATATAAACTGCAAATACAAAATTAATGTTCAATTAAACTATAAATCAAGGATCTGCTTAACAAAATTTATAAATTAACATTTTAATACAGAAAATAAAATTATCTAAGTTATATTAAAGCTATTATCAAAGGTGTGTGTGTGCCCGAAATTTCTGGAATATTTAAGATCGTGGTTCTTCGGACTCGTTACAACCGTTAGAATCGTAACGAACGGTAGGAATGCGGAAGATTTCACGTTACATTCAATCGAACGTTGTTGTCAAACATATACATTCTTCTTGTACTAGTACTTTTTCTACATAGATCATATCACGCGGCGAGCCGTGCTTACGAATTGACGGAATTTTCCGGGCCATTGCTGGGGATATACGAATGGGGGTAGCGGGTAGGTCGTATCGTCGTGTGATGAATCGACTCTCATTCTTCGGTATACCGTTCGCGAGTGCGAACGTCGGTCTGAATCATGTCTGAACTTACGATCACAGCAGCAGGACTGCAGAACTTTTACAAAAGTTAATTTTTCTAATAAGACACAAGTCGCGTACAAGTGCAAAATTGTTAATAAACGTACTCACTTGTGTAAAATTACAAGTTTCTCGGAGAAGCAAATTTAAATTCAAAAATTATCTTTTTAATAATCAGACATGAAACTTAATAATTAAACGTAGACATGGAAGAAACGGTGGCATTGATCAAGTCGTGCATAATTTCGAAGAAAGGCGGCGTGCCAATTGAAGATCTAAACGGTGAGTATTATCATTCTTTGTATTTAACTAATATTTCGATTTATATTAAAATAACGTGAGAGAAAGAGAATGTTCATTGTTAAGAAATATCAGTATATTGTATAAAAACTATTAAATAATACCTCATTGATTTCTTTAGATACTAATAACTCAGATTCTATATACAGTTGTAAAATTCTTATGAATTACTTTTATTTGTTCTTGTTTATAGTAAGATTTGTGAGCTTCTCGCAATTAAATTATTTCATATACAAGCTCACTTCTTTAAGATTAATTTAACATAAAAATTATCAAAATAAAAATTACATTAAAATAAAATGTTGTAAAATTATTATAGTAAGAAGACGCTTTTATTATTCAAATTTTTTAATGAAATATTATTCAAGGAATTCTATACCGTAAAATCATAAATTTAAGAATAAGAGAATGCTGCTTTTGCAGATGAGTTTCAAACTGTCGTCGGAGAATCTATTCCGTATCGTAGATTGGGATTCTCAAGTCTTCGTGCGCTTTTGCAAACTATAGACGGTTTGGAAACAACTTGGAATGATTTCGGCGAAGAAACGTTAAGAATAAACGATTCTAAGATTTCTCATATCGACAGACTTATACGAAAGCAAAAAGTAGATTATTCAAAGACAAGAGTACGTTCACGGCAATTTGTATTACAACATAAAGTCAATACAATAATTATATATATTGAAAAAATCAATAACAACGCTTTATTTCAGAATAAATACTATAAACAATTTATGCGAAATGATGGCAATCTTAGATACAATAATGATGAACGTAGAGAAAAGAACAGATTAATTTATAATACCAATCGCGCCAATAGACGAAATCAAGATCTCGCACATCGTCGTAACCCAAATTTATTTGGAACCAGTAAGATATTCAATCCATTTTAAATCTGTAAAGAGAGATAATAGTATTTTACATTTTACGAAGTTTTTATTTAATTTAGTTTTCGCTTGTGCTCTCAGAAACAGCGCTCCTTATATTTAACTCTGTACTTCACAATTAAAAATTTTATGTTTTAATTTCATTGTCGCACAAGTCATTTGGAATAATATCAGCGATCGTGTTTTATAAAAAAGATAGTTTTTAAAATAAATAAATTGCTTTACTTTAGATGGCGCGTATAAAAATAACTTCTTGAATAGAGAAGAAGAAAATCATCATCCGGTAGTAATAGAAACAAATGAAGTGAAGAAACAAGTGAGTGTAACTTTCTGAAAAGTATTACAAAGTATTATTTAATCTGTTATGTTAATATTATATTAGGACAGCATATATGAACCTGTTGCAAACGGCCAACAATTACTTGGTGACGATTTCTTCCTACAACTTGCGATACGAAATCTTCATCATTCTATTTGGAGATACAAGGGTACGAGGTCGCACACAAAAGTTTTTCTTACGAAATTTCCAGCAAGTTCTGTTTATATTGAAATCCACGCGTTGGCTTCGTTATATAATTCCTATATTCCTTTTCTACTCAGAAAAAGTAACTCCGCGTTTCTTATTTAATTAAAATTATTATTACTTTATCAAAGTAGTTAATGCGCAATAAAAAAGTTAAAATACGATAACTTTCAAGAGATAGATAATAAATATGTTTCAAGTTAAGATAAAAACTGTGGATTTTGTATTTCTCATTATTTTACATTTTGCAGATAGCTTAGCATTGCACTGCGGATTGTGTATCTCCGGACAGACTATTAGCGACTGTACTCGAGCTTTGAGGAATATCAGTTCCATCTCCAATCGTGTTGTGATTCTGCTTGGCTCGGTTGATGTTTACAACGTAAGTTAATTTGGCTTTGCCCTATCTTCGGCGTGTCCGGGTCGCACACGACTAAACGTATCGAGAAGTAAATTGAATATAAATATTAATGCCAACTTGTATTTATTGAAATCTCAGATAAAAATTATCTTAATAAGAAAACCTTTGAATAAATTTAAGCTTGTTATATTTACTTGCATTTGAACAACGTAACCAGATTTTTACTATTTTCAATATTCGATTCTTTTCAGAACGCCACTTGCGACGAGATGATAGAAGATATGACGGAGCTCTTGCAAGTTCTTCGGTCTAAATTTCATCTTTCTAACACAGCCATCAGTATCTGTACTCTTCCACCTTTGGCTAATATCAGCATCTATTCTTATAAGAAACAAAGCATGGCGCTCCTTTCCTTCAACAATTGGATAAGATCTCTGGCGGATGATCCGTCTACAAGAGATACCTCTTTTGTCAACTATCCTGTAATAGATTTGTACACAAAGTTCTGCCATGACGAAACGTACGTCACAAATTACGACTGGTTTCAAACGTAAGCACATCAGTTTTAGATATTCAAATATTCAGTTTATATTTACTTTTCTTTTATGCTTTCCTTTTATCGGTTTAATTCTTTCGTCTATTCAAAATTGATTAATTCTTTAATTGTCAAAATGTTAAAAGTTTTCGAATTATAATTGTTTAAAAATAAATTGGTTTTTTGAAATTTAAGTTCTTTATGAAAAAATAAATGACAAACTTTCTTGATTTCTGAAATCTTATTTGATTTCAAATAAATCTCACGTTTATACGGAATTTTAATTTGACTATTTTAACTTGATTACAAAGAAGTTTAATGTTAAAAGAAAGATTTTATTGAAAGACAAATTTCAATTATCTATATTTCTCACTTATAGTAATTGATTTTTTATTTCTCATACAATGCGTTTACTGATTTTTAGCCAAGCGCGTAGAGTGTCCGGCACTAAACATTCCTATGTGCTGTGGAATGACATAGGACGGATGCGAGCTATGGACCTCATCTGCGAAGAGAAAAATATGGATCGCTCCAGAAGTCCCAGCTCATTGTCGATGCAATGAGCTAACTGGGATCTTCCGTTATACACATATGATGAACGCCGTATAAGAAAAGAAGCAGAACGGTACACGATGGAGGGCCTTATTTGCCGTTGACGGCGAAGAACGCTTTTTCGAGGATCCTCCAAGGTGTACTCTCCCGCTTCTTTCGTAGATGTGTGCCTAAATACCGCAAACACGTCCAGATCACATTTATGTCTGATTGTGAGCCTATTCTGTCTATGAAAAAAAAAAGTTGTATAACGTCGTCCGGATAAATCGTTTCATCGTGTCTAATCAAACGGTCGTTTTGCGCGAGAGATATATTGGTTCAACGAACAATAACCGGATATACGGTCCCTGCTTTGTCACAAAGATAACTAGAAGCAGGGCGAGGTAATACATATGTCTTTTGTATACACACGTAGTATACAAATGTAGTTTAAATTAAATCTTTGCTTTCAAGTAGATACAAAGCTAACCGTCAAATTTAATTTCGTTTGTTCGCGTCTCAAGGAAATGGCCGTTGACGCAGGCTTTAAATTCACGCGAAGTTAATTAAGATGTATTCTGTTCATTGCATTTCTTTGTCACGTGTTTAAGATTAACTTTTCTCCCAATATTATAGTTTTCAACGTAGATTTCATTAATTACTAATCTTAAAACTTCACGATTTAAACTTTATCCGTTTCGTGGCATTGTGGAAAAGATTAAACGAAAGTTCGATAACAAGTGTTTAAGTACATTGAAAAAGTATAGTACATTTTTATAATTAAATGCGGGTGATTTAAAAATGACACAAATACTTTTTTGGAGAAATCTTAACGTTTCCTAATGAACAGCAGGAATGCAGTAGCGAACTTTAATCGCATCCCTTGTCACGTGTTTAAAATTAACTTTTCTCCGAATATATAGTTTCCAACGTAGATTTGATAAATTACTGATTTTAAAACTTAAGTTCAAAAGTTTAAATAGCAGTACAACATTAATATAAAAGATTCATAAATTTTCCCTATTGGTTTCTCTCTGAACGTCAAAATTATTATAAATTTAACAAAAAGTCAGTCACTGTTAAGAAATTATCGGCCATATTTCGTGAAACATGATCAAACGAAATTTAATGAATCATTATAAATTATGTAATATATATAGATAAATTCTTGCAAAGAAATTAATCATGAGAAGGAATTATTATAGAGGTACAGGTCATTATAATGTTTCTTTGTGTGTGTGTATGTAAATTATTTAATTGTTCGAAATATTAGTTTTTATATACTGTTCTGTATCTTAATATATACATTAGCGTTTTATATACTGTATTTAATATACGCAAGCAAGTTTAAAAAATACAATGTTAAATTAAAGAAATTGAATAGTAAATTAATTTCATAGTCAAATGAAATTAAATTATTTAAATGTGATTATTATTATAATGAAAATTGCGAAAGAAAATTTATGGAATGGGCAAAATAATTGATTTTTAAAATCAATTTTTTGATTTAAGAGAAATTAAGATTTAAGAAGAATAGTCTTCATAGTTTAAAAAGTGGTCAACTTTTAATTCAAAGTTTATAAATTAGGAAACGCGGAAATGTCTATTTTCCAGTCAATCTTGAATAACTTTAGGAATGAATGCGAGAAGTTTTTTAGCGAGAAGAAAATACGTGTATTAATACATTGAGACGTGCAATTAAACAAATTGTGATAATAATTGCTAGAAGAATGTAACTAATATCATAATAATAATATGCTAGCGATATATATGTATAAATTCAATTTGTAATTTTGAAATTGTAATCAATTTGTAATTGCATTGTATATGATAAATAAGTAGACACACGCGTCAAATTTATGTAATAGGGTGCACGTATTGTGATCAATAAATCACGAATACTTATAATTCATTTACTTTTCTTCTTCTATAAAGCCCGATTTAAAAAAAATATATAATTCATTATGTTAGAGATTTTACAGGATAGAATTCTATCTATAACTATTAAATTATTTAAGGAAATAATTAAAAGTAGGAAATTATAGATTCTTTCTCATAATCAGAAATCAAAGATGACATCTCTCCTTAAATTTAAAACTTTTAAGTGGCAATAATTACTTTATTAAAATCAATAACCTGCTATAAAATCTAGCTTTATTTAAAAATTGTACACATTCTTTTTTTTTATAAATAACTTGTATGTCTTGTTTGATTGTAAAATTGTTGATATATTCGGCGTATTTGAAAATCTATTTGAAAATGAAAACGAGAGAAAGGAATCTACATGCGCGGGAGAGGGTAAAGTTTAGGTTTAGATTTCGGTTAGTGATCGTAGGTCGTAGGATTTGTAGGGGGTTGTTGTTGTTGTGTGTGAGTGCAGGAGAAACAGAGAAAATAACCAAACTATATTCTTGCAATGAAATAAGGACATTATAATAAAATAAGAGTGCTATTGTAAGTATAAAAATATGAAAAAGGGACTTATTAGAAAATTAATCTAGCTGAAGATGAAATATCTAGGGAAGAGATATATATGTTTCAAAAAGGGAATTATTGAGGTTAGGAATTACAGAGTAGCAGATCAATCTCCTTATATAGGGTAATTGTGTAAATATAAACACTCTATTTGACTAATATAAAACGGTTGGAAAAATAAATATTAATATTAATATCTCTGCAACAAATACACATTATTTGTCTCGTCATAGTATCAGTGAATATCAGAAAAATTTATAATTCTTTAGTATGTTTATATCTTTCGATAAAATTATATATATTATATTCATATTAAAGATAATGTAAAAGTGATTATTATGTGATTGTTCAATTATGCTTGAAAAAGCCGGTTACTTCAGTAAAGAATAAGATGTAACATATTTCTGTGGGTTTATTATTACATTCGTATATATACTTTGCATAAGACATGATCGAGTCGCTTAATAAACAATCGACGTTTAATTGGAGACAAAGAGGAACTAGCATTAGAATTTGTTCTACGAAGTATTAAATTGCAGATGTAATTAATTTTTGTTTGTGTGAGTTTGCTTTATTTGCTTTGTGGTTTGCTTGAAACAATTGAATATTACTTGTTAATTTTAAAAAAGATTGGAAAATTTATTTTTATTCTCGATATACATCCTAACGATTAAAAAATATGTGCAGATAAATATGAGTGCAATTTCCAACGGTACTTACCCAAAGAGGGATTTGAGAAGTATGCTTGCTGAACGGAACGACTTTATTAGCGAAGAAACTGTATTCTGTAAACAGGACAATTTAGAACAGTCTTTGCATATACTGAATGAAGTAATGAGATAGATATAGCCAATAATTTTATTAAAATGTGCATAAGTATATATACAGATATTGATTGATGTCTAAATCTATAGGAATTTGAGTCATTGATCGGTATCCCACCGGTAGCCATAGGCAATGATCGGCAAAGCGCAGAATCGTTGAAAAAGCTATGTGTACAAGTGATAAATGCCACTTGGAAGTTGACACATAAGCATAGATACTTAATGCGATTACACGATCAATTGATTGATTTAAATCAGCGAACTGTTAATGATAATGTTACTCTTAAGGTGAGTTTGCTTTTACTTAAAACATGTATAAGTACTGAGATATTTTGTATTTTTCCACGCTGCACAGTAAAATGATTGGTGAGTATGTGTGGAAATTATGTACTGGTTATAAAATTATAATATTTAATAACACATGTATGTATGTACAGAATCATATAAAGCGCTTGAAGGAAGACTTAGAGAAGAAGGAACATACGATATGTAAAGTAGAGGAGAGAGAAAGGAGACTTAATGTTAAATTTGAGGATGCATCACGCGACCTGAAGCAAGAAAAGGAAGAGGTAATTCAATTTATGTAGAATATGCTTGTACAGATTGATTTGAATAATGTACAAAAACTAAAGTTAAATGTCTGATTCACAGATACGAAAGCTAAAGAAACAAGCTCAGTTTAAAGAGACTCAACATGAGCACGAAATAAGAAGAATCACGCAGAATAGTCAGAAGCTCCAAGAGCAGTTACACAAATCTGCTGGTTAGTACTTAACATGATTTTAAGCTAATTATTCTTATTAAACGTACGACTATGTGTGTGTGTGTGTTTTTATATTTACATAATATGTCTCATAATATACAGGATACTTTCTGAGTTAGTTAACGATTTTAGTTAGTTAATGAAATACAGTTTTATTATTCTCAAGTAAAATTCTTTGTGCGCAAAAATAAATACAGCCAGTTTAACTTGGCTGCATTATGAATTGATTATATTGGCCAGGAGTTAGTATACTCCAAATATTTTGTATATGCATTACATAGAATTTGATGCTTAGTACATAACGCAATTATGGCTACAAATATATCGATGTGATAAAAATCGAGAGATTTTATAATGATTTTTTGGCCCGTACAGGTTCTTTTACACCAAGAGACAAATTATTAGAAAAAATGCATGAGAAGGAGTTAACTGGATACAAGAAAACTATTTGCCGTTTGGAAGAAAACAATAGACAGATGTTGCAAGAAATTAATAATCTGAAGGAAGCTCTGGAGTTACATAAGATCGGAATTGATTTACATATCGAAGCATCTGGAGGAACATGGGCCAATGTAGATACTTGAACATAAAATATAATTGATGTTTATAATTTATTCATATCTTAGACGTATAGGAAAAAAGTGCATACAATTGCTAGAAATATATGTATAGTCTTAGAAACACAGCAATATACGGAATTTTGTAGTAATATTTATTTTGTTCTATAATCTGTAATTGTTCTATAATTTGTAACTAGAAAGCTTTTTGTATTTTGAATAAGTTTCGTTATTTTATGTATTGATGCGTATTAGAGAAATTTTGTTTAATTGTAAGATTTGTGAATTGAATAAAGGTGCTTTGTGGTTCCCTAACGTATATATACATTTCATATTTTGACAGATCTATTTTCTGGTAAAAAATAGCCTGAGAGTGGACGCGTTTTAAGTGGACTCGTTCACTGGCGCTTCAATACGCACAAAACGTGTATATCAATAAGATTTTTTTGGTGTTTTGCACAAAACTATTAAAATAAAAAGTATACTTGACGCTTAAAAAAACATTACTCCCATTATAGGTATTATTTTTATAATGGATTGTTACGTACTTACATTTTGGGTATGGCACGGAATAGAATCAAACAATCGTGTACGTAAACTGGAACAGAACTGTAGACATAGCGTGTTACCCACCGGAAATATCCGTAGCTACGTATATTAATGCGCATATTTTATATACATAGAGACGAATGTGTGAATGCGGGTTAAAGTTTGAATACGTTACTCTCAGGCTTCTCTTTAGCTATTTTTTTCTATCCTTTCTATACATGCAATTGTAATTGAATACGTAATTACATTTTTTAAATAAAGATGATAAAAATAATAAATAGTTAAGAAATAGTTAAAAAAAGAACAGATTTTTAAATTGGAAAACCTATAATAGGAAAATAATTCGAAAATTTGGTAATTATGTTTTTCTCTATAATCCACAAAGGAAAACCAAGTGCATGATTATGTTATGACAATGCAATCTTGATTTGATTTTTTATTCTTTAAGGGACGCAAGTACCATTATTTATCCAATGTTATTTTTGGATTTATTTTGGATTCTTGTTTCTTCATTTTATACGTTATTCAGATAATCATTTCATCTTTTGATATATCGAGTCAAGATTCGATTGATTTTTCACAGATCGATTTCATCTAACCAGACTCAAATTATAAAACCGTTTTCATTAGTGTCGCGGCATGAACGCATCAAATATGACATATAATTATGGTTAATAAGAAAATGTATATTAAGATAGCCGCTTGATACAGAGCCTGTCCGCTGCTCTTTGAACATTTGCAGTTGCCCGCTTTGCAGACCGTGTTGTTTCGAATCGTTAGTACTCTTTCCGGTCCCCCAGGTTGATCACCTCCTGGATACGCTATCTCATTCGGCAATCTGTTGTCGGTGCTATTGACGTACTTCGAACTGAGCCTCAGAGTGCTCTTGCCATCCGCGCAAATGCCGTTTATCACGATGACGTTCGTGGTGACCAGGTTCATGCTCACGTTCGAGAAGATGCTGTTCTCCACGATAGCGACGGTGCCTTGGATAGACATCACCCCCGGTTTCTGCATCTCAAACTTGGAGTCGGTGATCTCGATCTTGTCGAAATTACCAAAGTTCAAGATTTCCTTGGCATTACGTAGCTCACTGTTCACTATGCGCAATGTTGCGCCTTTCTCGGAGACATTCAGCCGGTCCACTCGCTCGATCGTAACGTTCATCATGATAAAGTGCAACACATTGATGTGAAAGAACTCTTCTTCGAGGTTCTCGATGAGCGCGCCTTCGATCGCGAGTGTGTCGATAGCTCTCAGATTCGTGAACGTATGGCCCGTAATCTTTGGTATCCGGCCGATGTTCGAAAGCTTCAGCAGTTTCACGCGGTTCGACGTAAAGAAGACCTCGAAGTTCAGGCTGCCGCTGATATTCTGAACTATCATCTCCTCGAGATTGCTCGCCTCCGGAAAACTGGCGTAATGGAGGTTCGCTGAAACGCATCCTGTGACAGACACGCTGGTAATGTTCTTGTAATTGTATTCCTCTGGTAGAAGAAATTCCTGAAAAATCAGAACCATCAATCAAGTGCCACACACTATGTATCCCTAGCTATTTTACGTCAACTTATTTTGCGTCCTTGTATGTTTAACGGACGCTTTTATATCAGCACTTTTTATATACGAAGAGATAGCGATATCATTAGTCATACACATCAGTACTATTTAGTAATGTTATTTTAAAGCTAATAAAAAAATAAAATAAAAGGAAAGAGGATTTAAAATTGAGTACATACAATCAAAAGTTTAATTGCAATTTAAAACCTACTGAGCAAAGAAACAATCGACATTCAATACATCTGCGAAAATTGGCGATTTACTTCAGGATCATTCCGTGTAGAAACATTTGTTCGAGCACGAAACCAAAGGACAGAGATTATTATTACGATATGACACGGAAGTATATTAGTCAGCATACCTCGTTTCCGATGCAACTACACGTAATCCTTGTTTCATTGTGAACTTGACATTGTTCGTTGATATCATCCGCAGTCGCGAACAATGCCGCAGTGAGTATTACAACGAGTAGGGTCGCTCCCATATTCAGCACATACACGCTATATCTGTGTATAAAATCTCACCGTCTATTGTGTTTGCACTGAAATTAGAAAGGGAAATTAGAAAGGGAATGTTTCGTTTCAGATTGATAAAGATACGATCCTATGACTAAAAATGGATTTTCTTTAAACAGTTTCTAATCAAAAGGCAGATATACATTCAGAATAAATAATATAATTATTGTAAATGCACACACACACAGATTAAAGACAAATTTATTAATCAATCACAATCAATCATTGTATTTTAATATAATTCTATTGAATTTAATAATGCATATTTTGAATAAAACAATGTGAATCAAGCTCTATCTCTCGAATGTTGCGAGAATCTATGAAAATCTCAGCGATTATTTATCAGATTCGAATGTCAAGTCTTCCACCGCATACTTCGTCTTTTTACATAAAATTTACTTTCTTTATATATGCAGATTTATTGTGAGTATAAGAAAATTCTTTGTGTAAGAGCGAGCGGAGTACAGCATATGAAAGAGAAGAAAGCAGACGATATTTTTGTGGGACAGCACAAAGATGAAGTCGAAGAAACTAATTTCAAGAAAATCAATAACGTTATTATTAATGTTAATCCAAAAATTGTTTTTAGATAAACGCACTTCTTCTAGATTGACTTCCCTTCAAACACAAGTAAAATACACTAGTTCGCGCGGAGTAAAAACTCCAAGACGAATTTTTGGACGTTAATGAATATATACGTATAAGTTACCAGTCTCAATAAATCCGACTTTGAAACCAAAAAATAAGAAAGAAACGCTCTCATATTTTCGAACTTGGTGGTTTTCCGCACGGTAAAACTTCTTAGATTTTTTTTCTCGCCTTTTCCTTTAAAAATTTCCCCATTCGCGCTTTCTACGAGTTCTTATCTCTTGGCACTTGGTACTAGTCAGATTTCAAGTTTCCTGATGTTGATGTTTCGGCGACGTTTCCTGTCGGTGGATCCTTTGTCGTTTCAAGAAGAAATCACCGGAACAGCAAGCACTTCCTCGATGTTGAACGTATCGTAACGATAGCGGGCAATGACTAGTTTCGGGTATCGCATTCAGCCGTCGCGTCGGATGAATCCACAGTCGAGTGCGCAATTAAGATAGACAGTTCTTTCGCGCCGCTTTTTTATGGTGATTGACACACGTGTAACGTAACGTGCTATTTAGTAAATATATTCCGGTAGCCATGGAGTCCAGGGTTTGGCACGCTCGCTGATATTACAATATAATCGGCAGCCTGACAATACTAGAGCGTTTGTGCTGCACGGTGAGAGAATGCACCGGATAAACGCGGTCAGTGCGGCAATATCTAAGAACTATCACGATAAGTTGCGATATTAACTGCTCTGATAACGTTTATTGTGGTACACCATCCTAATGGCTACAAAGTTGCATATCATAATTGTGGGCTTTGATGTTATAATGATACACTTTCAGAATATTTTAGATTTAGAATTGTTTTACTTTAGTGATGGATAATAAAATATTATTCTTTAGCTAATTTCCAGTAGATCTTACTTTTTAATAGAAACTTAGTTCAGGACTTAATTTAATAAAGATGAGTGTATATAATATAAAGCATGTAACGTTATATGGAATTATAAAAAATAATAGTCCATTTTCTTAAATTTATCTTTTATAGTGAAGTATAAATCCGGATAAACAAGTTAAATCAATTTTATTCCGCTTTGAAATTCTGATAACATGGAAAATCGTAAGTATTTCGACATTTTTCGGCCAATTTCGGATTGGTCAACAGAAATTGAAGAACAACCTATGAAATAGATGAGATATAACTTACATTTATATTATACGATAAACAAAGATTTATTGATTGATTTTTGTCTGCAATGTATTATTTTATATGACTATCCTTTTTTCATAATGAGAGTTATTTGTGAGAAGGCTTCGGTATAATAACATTCAAAGTAATTATTACTTCTGCATTTCTTACGTGCTTATTGCGAATGTAAAAATAAAAGGACGTTATATTTAATAATATAATTTTAAACGTATTTATAGCTTAAGTAACACATAATCTTTATTTAGATTAATATTGCAATGTCACACGTAGAAAGAACAATAAATACATCTTCAAATTGAACATTTTATAAAGAGATTATGATTCTTATAGAAAATTATATAACTGTATATATACAATATACAATTACATATATGTGATTGTTATAGAATTGTAAAAATTGTTGACATGCTCGCTATAATCATTATGATAACGCAACAACAAATTAAATTACAGATTAATTAGTTTGTATTAATTTGTAATACCTACGATTCCCTGAATTAAGTCATTATACATGTGCGACGCAAATATATAAGAAAAAGAAATCGTGTGATGGATCAAGATAAGAGGTTGTGCAACCATTAACTTTGTAAATTTAATAATTCATCACTTTGAAATGCTGAGAATAATAATTGTGTTAATCTACATTAGGTCAGCTGCTAAACAGTGGCGGATTGATCATTAGACACAACAGGCGTTGAAATCGTAGAACTAAATCATTATTCCCGTTTTTTAGGGATAATAAAAATACGCTATAATTGAATAAAAAATTATCCGCTAAAATGTGATCTTTTTCAAGACAAAATGTGACGCGTTTTTGACTATTATTTTATTTTTAACAGTAGAATACTTTTTATGGGAATAGACAAGTATCCATCAGTCCGACTCGCTCCTATTTTATTTTTACATCAGGGCCTCCGAATTCTGCTGTCTAAACCGTATCGAAACGTTTGATTTATTCGATCACTGCCATTATATTTATATCAATGAACGAGAATTCAATGTGCATTATGATACATCGCACGAAGCGATTCGGATAGAATTAAACAGGGGATTACAACATCGCTCGCGGTGCGGAAAAGACGGGAATACCACAGACGGCGCACACCAGTTGTCCTGTGTATAAAAATGTATTTACGATTTACATATATGCTAATGTAGCACACTTTTATCGACGCACGTCCAACAAAACTCGCGCATTCACGCATACACGCTTTCGCAACATGCCGCAATACTTCCGCACCGCTCGCTATAGCGGAATCATCGCGCGCACCATGGTATCTTTACGGCGCGGACGCCAGCTTTTCGATTTGTGGAACAACCGGGAAGTATATATTAATAAAAAAAACTGGCGCCACGATTTATTCCCTCTTATATGCCGTAACAATATTTACGAGTGTTCCACGTAACGATTTTTGTAGCTGTCTGATTTAGCACTTCATTCTTTTCAGCCCGCGTTTCCGAGTAAAAATGACGAATAATGTGATACAAAGGAGAAAATTAAAGGAAACTTCTCAATGAGACGTTTCTTTCCCGTTGTTGTCAGTGTAACAAATGAGTTGCTAGGGAAACTGCGGGGAAACTCGCTTCGTGGAACAAAGCTGGCTTGTTAGAGTAAAATTTACACTATATACATATATAGGCGTTCGATGGCTGAAACTAATACATATTTAAACGTTAGCTTACAAGATAGTAAATGATATGTACACGTTAATTAAAGAAAGACACGGTAAATATTAGAATAAAACAATTTCGCTTTGCTAATATCGTGATTTAGTGAATCTTTGAGCAACTGAATAAAGTACCTTCTGTACATCCAAACTGTAAGTATATACTGTAAACCAAAAGAATGCAAGCTGGTATTACTCATATAATTGAGAAGAAATAAAGAGAAGGAAATATTATGAATTAGATAAGCGAAATCAAATAATTTTATTTTCTAGAAAACACTTGGTCTGAAGTATTAGAAATATCCGCTTCCGTTAGCCATTATATTGGAGTGCAATAATTACGCAATTATATTATTTAAGGGAATAATAATATTTGTTTTAACTGCATAAATTGTTAAGTCAAAGGCATAGCGACATATAACACCAAGATATCTTGAGACACACTAACTTTTATGTTTCGTATGTTTAGTTGAATGTGCCCGTTTGATTTTAGTCTCTTTTTATATTAAATTTATATTATATACGTATCACTAGATTGCAACTAGAATAGTAAATTCTAAAAGTAAAAACCAGAAAATATTGTATAATTTTAAATACATGTATGCAACATGTATATTTTTCATTTCTTCCGTTTGAAGAACATTGATAGTTGGTACTTAAAAAGAAAGATTTGTGTTCATATCTAGTGTTAAACAGACAAGGCAAATACAAAGATGTTCCAGCGTAGTAAATTACGTTTTTTCATATTGACTGGCAACTCGGGGGGGGGGGGGGAAGGGGACTACAACAATTTCCCCGCAATTTCACGCTATTAATAAAGTTGTACGTATCGTTGGTACTCCTTTCCGGCTTGAGTCACAGTCTTGAGGGTTTGCTCGTGATGAACGTCGCGAATCCTGCCGCAGCAGTTCACGAAATGGAGCGGAAAGCGCTAAGGAGTCCAAGTTCGCGCTCCTAAATACTTCCGCAGAGATCAGTCTTATGTAGAGCTCATCATCGAGCGTCACTATCATTACCATCTCATTTCCGCGTCTATCATTTTCACGCTTTCTTGTGGAATATCCTCTTGATGGCCTCTTTTCTTTCTGGCGACACGAGCGCCAGCGGCGTCTTCCCTTGCCGGTTTACTATGTTCGTTTGACCTCCGGCTTGTATCAGGAGTCGGCAGACCTCCTTCTGCTTCTCTAAGTTTACGGTATTCGAGACTGACGCGGCCATGTGCAGCGGCGTGTTATACATGTAGTTGATGTCGTTCACGACATTCGAAGTGGCCTTGCACAGCAACACCTGCGAAAACACGAGAAAAGTCTGAACATAATTTGCATGGAAATCGACGATATCGCGCAGTATACATCGTTCTTAAAATTTAATTCTAAAATAAAGTCTGTATGATGTATCAAATAAATCCCTAGTGTATTAAAGAATATCCGCACAATTTATCCATAAAAAAATTATAGTGTTTTTTCAAAATATTTAATTTAATAATATTCTTTATCTTTTGTAATAATTTGTTTGTTTAATAATATAGCTTTTTCCAAATACTGAAGTTACTATAATAGATTTCGTTTATTTGGGGATACGGAATGCTGAATGTGACATTTTATATCTTAGAAATATTATGTTAATTGTGAAAGAAAAAGGGGTAATTCTCTGTGAAATATTATTATGATTAAACGCTCTTTTGGAATAAAATCAAAGAAGAGACAATTATCGTGCGTGTTACGCAATGTAAATACGGTAGAGAACAAACGCGTCAAATGCACGAAATTGATTTTTTATTAACGCTTAACATAACACTTGTTTTGTCATCTGCAAACAAATTTGATAACACACTATCTATTGCATGTCAGGGGTTATCGCGCGAAATTCTGGGTGAATAAAAGTGAATGGATCAATTACTTCTTGCTTCAACTATTTGTTCTCTATAGCCATTTCTGATTGGTGGACCCTTCTACCGGTCTTATCCACCAGTCAGACATGGAAAAAAAGAGATAAAAAATAAAGTGATCATTTTATTCGAGCACAACATTATAACTGAGTTATCACGTAACGTGTTTCAGAAGACGCGCATTTATTTCTAGCTACAAGGTCTTTGGAAAATTTAGAGTAAAATCTTTTTTTTAATGAAACTTGAGTAACACAAGATCGTCTTTGCAAATTTCGAGTTATCAATATTTAACAATTTGACATTTTAATAGTATTTAAGTTATAAATGAATATAATTAAATTTTCCTTAAAATTAATTGAAAGACAAATCTATTAATGTGCGTCAGCATTAATTTAGAAAAATCTCCTAGGATTGAACAATTGAAAAATTATTTAATGATTATATCACTGTATCAGAACAGTTTGCTGTTATTCTCGGTTTATCTTCTCTTATTTACAAAAAAATCGCAAGGTTTCTCGAATATATCGACAACGTTTCTTCTTAATTCCAAGAGGCGATACGATGCAGAACGTATAAATATCACTTTGTCAGCAATACAATAAGCCGATTATCATACGGGTATATTCGCGATTTCACGGATAACTAACGCGCGAAGCCGGGAAATCCCTCAGGTGGATTACCTTCACGAGTGCTGGATCGCAACTCAATGAGGCTGCCATATGTAAAGCGGTGTCGCCACACTTGTTCTCTTTCACCAGGATATTTGCGCCGTTCTGCAAGAGAAGACGCGTCGTGGCCAAGGACTTGACGCCCCTTCCGGTGGGATCGTGCGACTCGACTGCGACGTGAAGAGCGGTCCTCCCTGAAACGCACACGCGTTCTTATTTCCCTATCTCCAGAATCGGACCTCTGTGTAATTTCGTTTTCTTTAATCTTGTTCCCGTTTAACTAACCATCGTTATTGCGCCTCAGTAGGTCGAACACAGGCTTCCCTTGCACCGTCTTCAACGCTAGCAGCTCCGCCAAGATCTCCCCGTGGGAATCGCCGCGTGCCGCGACCGAGTGTATCAGCGTGTCACCCTGAAATAACGGAAACGATAGTATCAGAAAATTTGCCATCGCCTGTAAAATTATCTTTAACGTGTGTTAAACCGCGTTAATTACGCTTGTTCTTTTTTCAATGTGATCATGTGTAGCGCGATTATTTAGTAATTATGCGCAATTAATCGTAAATGTATTTGGAAATGTATTTATTGATGAATAATTGCGCGCGATTACTTCGGCGAGATAAGAGAGAACCTTTTCTACGTAATTGGAATTATTTCGTCCAAACTCATCTGTGATTGTAATAAGTGTCCGATTAAAGCACAAACGCGCAGACCGATTCGCGTTAGGGCGAGTTAATAAAGCATACAAAAACGACTTTCGTAGTAAAGGAATTATGAGAAAACTCACGCGCATATGATATAATTTTTGGTTGATATCGATCCCTTTCTGCAGCATCGCGGCCGCCAGATATCCGGTGACGTACGGCATTTTCGGGCAATTCATGGCGGCCAAGTACAAAGCGTCCTCATTGCGATTATTCACCATTGATAGAGCACCCGGCAAGTTGCCCAATCTCTCAACCAATGGCACCAAATAAGCTTTCTTCTTCTTTAACTCCTCTGGATTACCCACCAGGCACATCAGTGCTCTATTACACGCGAAAGTCATAATTTAGCACGCGGTCAGAAAGAAAATTCGGAAAAAGGTGGCTTTTGTTGTCACTTTTTTGTTTACTTTTCAAACGTCAGAAACTATAATTAGCTTTTATTATCAAACTGCATAACACTGCTGCATCGGAAGAAGATTTGACAGTATCAGTTAATGTATTTAAATAAACGCGGTATAATGTACGCTTTTTTTTTTTAATGCGCTCTACACGTACATTCACATATAAAGTGGAGCACGTTACTTACGTGTCACCATCCTCGTCCGTGGCCGCTAGTTCCTCTATGGACTTCTTCAGCAGATTACTCATTGCTCTTTCCACTTCCTTAGGACGCAATCCTTCCTTCAGCCTCTCGCTCGCTCTTACAGATGGCAAATTCAGCGAAGGCCACGGTATTATGTCTCGATTCGAGTTCCTGCCGAGGCAAATCGGGTCGTTAACCACATTTCTTATCACTCTTATTCGCGCGAAAGTTGTGCTGATTATTTTAACACGAATAGCGTAAAAACGACGACATTCAAAACATCGTATTGCGACTCGATTTAAACAGACGGTTTGCTCAAGTGAAAATTAAAATCATATTGAGCAATCAAACTTAACAAAAAAATGTTTACAATTAGTTGTAATATACATAATATGTGTGTGCATTTAGATTGCTACTGATTTATAATTAAACTCGTATTTTCCGATTGCCCGAAGGTACCGGCAGCATAAATATGCCATTGGAAACTTAAACAGTTGATTTATTGCAATACTTCTCGTTATCGTTCGTTTCATTGCGATATCTGCCATTAATTTTGATTACATAACTTCGTGGAAATAAAGAACACGTATTTTTTTTTTCACTCTCGCGAGCAACATCAGCGCAATGATAATATGCGATTAAAACATATTTAGGAATATGGAGCGTAGCTGAAACTCTGATTGTATCTCCAAGAAAAGAGAGGTATTATTTTAAAAAATAATCACTTTCTTTGTCAATTTTATGAAGTATTTCAAACATTGATTCACGTTTAAGAATCAACCAATTTTTTCGAATCACCGTCATCTATTTCACTCATTTACTTCATTTTTACATCCTGCGTCTTCGCAATAACTTTTTCAAGTTTACCTCTGTGGATGGCTAGGTACAAATGAAGAGACCATCGTTGGTATCTCATAGTCGCTAGGTACAAACATCGACGGCGACTGGTCGTATCTCTTCTCTCCACCAGCGGTATGGAACATCGTGTACTTCTCCTGCGACGCGCGCAAATTCTGTTCAGAAGTCTTTGCGGATGTCTCATTGGCCAGTCCGATCTCGTGCAGGGTGTTCGCGTCGTGCTGCGGCACAATGTTGACCTGGCCACCGTTCTTCACGTTCGGCTCGTAATACCTTGGCTCGATATCTACCGAGTGCCCGTTCACCGCACGATTCACGATCGCGCATCCGCCGGTGCTTCCCTTGCTCGCGTAGACCGACACGAGACTGCCGTCGATGGGCAGACCGCCGACCTGGATGGAGTTCGCGTTGGGTACGCCCAAGCAAGCCTCCAGCTTATCGCTTCGCATGCTGCTCGCGGGGCATTCGCGTGATGCGGGATTCAGATCACTCCTCAACGTTCGCACGGATACGCACTGGTTGTTGTAGGCCGACGAGAAGGAAGGGGCGTTTGAGGCAACCTGCGGTTCCTTCAACGTCTTGCTCTGCTTGTCCTCCTCTATGACCTGCTCTACAAGCTGGAGCAAATCGATAGTGTCGCTACTGTTGACGATCGTTACTGTTGACGATCCCGAGGAATCGTAGACGCCTTTCCAACCGGATAAAGATTCGCCAAGCTGTTCCTCGTTCTGATAACTCAGAGGCGTCTGGTAATTCGACGGGCTGGACACGTCGCTGTAAGACTGGTTGGACGAGGACGAGGAGGACAACGCTCGCGGCACCCGATACGACGATGCGACCTGCAAAAGGAGGCGTCCGGTTAATCGTACTACCTGTCGCGAATTCGTTTCGTATTTATATTAGGTCGCAGCGGAACAAGTAGCTACTAAAACTTATACAAGCTGTCAGATAGCTGTTTGAATATTTTATAAGGCTTGTCAAACCGCGATAAAAGGTGTTTTATGGATGCGACGCCGACAGTTTTAAGTATTTGAACCTCTTATTATGGATTTAATGTGTATGTACACATATTCATTAATTTTTATAGCATTTTCTATGTGTCATGATAAGTGAACAGATAAGTTGCAGATATGTCCAAGAAATAAATTCTAACATATTTGACACAATAAATATTGTAATCAAATAACTTAAATAAATTGATATAATAGACGAAAGAAATATCATGCAAGTAACATCACAAAAGGATAATCTATTCAACACGTGAAAGTATTGTCTACAAAAAATGTATAGTCAACGGCTTACTTGTTAGCCTCGAGATAAATCAGGACGAGCTGATACCGTGACCTAATGGTGGCAAAATAAACAAGCTGCGTTGCATTTTAATTTGCGACTGTATTTAATCAAATTCAGCTTAATCTTCCACGCGGGCATGATATTACATATTTTCGGAGCTAAACCCTGGCAGTCTCGCTCGCGCAAGACTTCAGCGCCTCGTTTCACTTTATTCAGGCATGCGGGACTGCGGGACCAGCGGGACTCGTCGAAGTGCTACTTATACACGCTCCTCATACATTTATGCAAATTATCGCGCCATCCATCGCGGGACTTACCTGCGGCGAACCGAGCGGGCTGCCAATAATGTTGACATGCATCTGCGGCGACTCCAAGTTCGTGGCAGAGCCCGGCGACTGGGCGCGACTCGACGCCCGACTGTTCGACCTCGAGATGACGTAGTTGTAGCTGCTTGCCGGGGAATCGGACCAGGTTTTCGCGCCTGGTGATGGAATTGAGTGACTGCCGGAGTCTGAGAGCACCCGCGCGGCTTGTAAATCGCTACGCGACAAGATGTCCATCAAGTCCTCTCCCTCGTCGACGACTATGGAAGGAAGTGCCGCGGTCTGAAATAAGATAAGATTAAATCCTTTTTTTTCACAGAGCGGGACTCGTATTGTCGAATCTCGGTCGTCGACACGCGTGCGACCTTTCCCTTATCAGCCGAGTAATTATGTAATTGCTAACGACATACATATATGGGAAGAATATTTATTAAATTTTTAATTTACTTTCTTTATTCCTAATATGCACGTATAATCAGAAGATTTTTTTTCTCACAAAGATAAATTGAGGAAATTAACATAACAATCAATATACGTAGCTGTTCGAAATATCCAGACCAATACATTCAAATAGCGTGCTATATATATAGCAATGATTTTTTTTGCAGGCATACGTTCGTTATCAATAGTGTGTTTATAAAAAAATAGATTGGTAAAGCAAAAATCAATTTTTATTTGAAAATGGCATTTTTTTTCTTTCTTATGTTCTCTTTGAAATTTTTGTGTAAATTTATCTGGAAGAATGTTTCAATTTATTTCAACACGCGATATATAACGACACCTTTACGAGAATCGTGTATAATCTCGTAAAAAACGTCATCGTTAGCACAATATCCGAAAGATAAAATTTAACAAAACTTACATCGTTTCCAAGATCTCCGTTGTGGAAGATATCATTGTTATTTTCTCCGGTCCAGCTAATATTCATCGCCAGACCCATCGCTCCGATCGATGCCTGATTTCGGCTCGAATCCGACAACTGATCCAAGCAGGGATTCAGTTTCTCGCTATAATCCTTGATCCTCAGGATCTGTTCGGCCGTCTTGTCGTAGTCCAGCGCGTCATTGTTTTCACGCGACAGCCAGCTTATCATAGAGTATGGGTGTTCCCGAGGGGATTGGACATTATTGGGCTTAATCGGTCCTCGTTCGATCAAATCAGAATCGTCAGAGTCCTCATGCTCCTCCTGTCGTTCCGCCTGTTCGGTTTCCGAATCGTCGTTCAAGGAATTATTATCGTACAAAGAGCGACGCTTCTTATCACCGGTGTCATCGCGTATGTTAAGCGGCAGGCAACTTTTATTGTTTTTAGCCGTGACGTTGTTTTTGTTGTTGTTTATGTCCTCGTTATTAGCACGATGGCCCGTTTGCGACTTGCAACTGTCCCGATACTCTGTATTGTCCACTTTTTCGCTACTGATGCGGCGCGTCTTGTCGATACCAACGTTCTCGTTGGTATCTTTGTTAATCGCAAGCTGCAGATTCTCGAACTTTTCGATTATATCTTTGGTCAGTTTCTCGCGGAAGTCCTTGTCGAGGTTAAAATTTTTGTCCGCGTCCGCGCTTGAGCGGCAAGACGTGTCCGGGCTAATAGACATATCCTCGGACTCGGTTGATCCGTAATCCTCCTCCAAAGAGCTCACGGATGAACAGTCCGGAATCGTGACGCGTTGCAGCCTCAACGCGATTCGGATCGACGTAATTTGGGCGGAATTGGCCATGGTTTGCTGCCTGGATTTCTCTTATTCTTACAAGTAATATAAATAACTGCTCAAAGAGAATTAATAAAGGCCGTCTTTACGCGTTTCTTTTGCACGTTCAATTCTTCAGTTAATGTCTTCTTGATCTCAGAAACTTCGTTCTAATGTGAATCTGTGAAATAAATAATAGCAAAAGTAAATTAGGTAATTCCAAATAGTAAATTTTATTAGGATAGTTGAAATATTGACAGATTTTTATAAATCTATTATTAAATGTAAAAATTATGTAAGACTCTTATAAAAATATTACTTCAATTCAAAATGTACATTTTTGTCTACTTATTACAATTTATTCTTTCATTAATCTTTAAAAAAGTATATATATATATATAGATAAGTATTAGATATTATATATTTATAAATATTAATTTAACCAAATATTTCATATCATTTAAAGCTACTTATTGTTAAATTAATTTTCATTGTCCAATTACATAAATGCCATAAAATTAATCCAACATAAGTATAATTAATTCAAGTTCCATCTTGAAAACATTCATGATCTGATTGTAAGATTAATATAGATAATTTGTATGCGTAAATGCATGTTAACTCAGAATTAAACAATAAAAATATGCTACACACAACAAAAGTTATTTAACATTTTTCAGAATAATAAGTATTTTTTAATAATAAATCAATTTTTCATAATTGCATTATTATTTGATGAAGCAATTTATACTCTCACACTGTACAATAGCACAGAAAAGCTTTTTTCCATATAATAATTCGCGGTATGTTAATTGTTTTAATCATTGCCGGAAAGTGTTTGGCGGTTGAATGCGCTATCATCAGCTATAAAATATATGGCTTTCTTCATTGTTATATATATTCCATTGTTATACGCGTTGATATCTAGGAGTATGATGTATTTTGTTGCTGACAGTTTTATCGCTCGTTAGTTGTTGTAAACGTAAGCGTATGTGTGTTAACGAATAACATCACATATTGTTCGACAGAAAATACACGCAAACGCTTGCATAAACTTTTCCCAGAATCCAAGAACCAGATCAAGAAGTCTTCTTACTTCAATTAATAATAATGTTTGCTGATAAAAGTATGGAAAATTTTGCAAAACATCATGAAGAAGTCATGAGTACATTCGAAGTGTAGAGGTCGTTAAAAACTTCGTGATAACCTACGTTCCCGAGACAACAAAAATTATATTATCATCATTTAATAATCGATTTCTATACGACATGGATCATAACGTTTGTTACATGCAAAATAAAGTTCTGATTATTTTACTATTTAATTACTAGATATTATTAATAATTTTATTCTTCGTATATTTTTAAATATATAATATATTTATATAAAATATTGTTAACCCAATATTTTTCGAGAGAGATACATATTTATGTGTGTGTATATATACATATATATATATATATATATATATATATATACATACATAAAAAGCTTATTGCGCAATATGCTTTTATAGAAAATCTTATTTCAGTAATGCAACATAGAACTTTACCTATATGTACATTACAAGAAAAAAACGTTAATATAAAAATACATTAGTTTTTAATATTAAATTATTTTCTTTAATGTTCTTAACAACAAGCCAGTAAATCTTCATATTTGATCCATATTTGTATAGAAGTCTTTAAAATAATAGACTTATTAAGTGTATTAAAAAATTTCAACACGCTAATTTAATTAATTATATAAGATTATCATGATGTATGCCTCAAGGTAATGTCTCAAGGTAATAATATAATGCGCCATACACAGCAACGCGTGACTGCCTCAGGTGTGACAATGTTACATACAGATAAATAGACTGATAGCCGTTTATTATCGTCCTAGGATCTCAATTAGTCTCTTCAAACGCATAATGGAGATGCATAATATCAAGGAATTTTTATAGAAACTTTTATAAAAACATGTTACGTTGAAAATAGAGTGCAGTGAGATGTATAGCAAAAAAGCTGAAAGTTACGTGCACTTCAAGCAGCAACAAAAGTACTACGTCCAAAGAATCCAACTTGTGATTCAGAAATGACGATTTAATTGATGGATCTATTCGGTCATTGAACTAATTTTACTTTGAATAGCGGAAATCAAATGGAGGTTCGTTATTCATCAATTGTGCTCTAGCCGAAGTAAACAATTCGGAGAACTTATACATCAAATTGATGTATTAAAAGTTCTTTTAATAATGCTCACTATCTTCATCGAAGCATTTATAGGATTAATTCACAAATGCAGTGGACCCCCGTACAATACGGGGAGTGCGTTCCGTGTTATATGAATCCTTATATATAATTATTATGAGAAATGTAAAATAAATATTAAAAATGCGTGTTATATAATCCCGTTTATGGGGGTCTACTGTAATTGCCATCAACAAAAGAGTGCATCGTTAAATACAATTACTTTCAAATCTCGCTAAGCTGGTTACATTTTTCGACTTATAATCCAATTCATTTGATATTCACGTTCGATTTTAAATTCGCTGTGAAATCTCCGATCGAAGGTTGCGACCAGGTAGACCGTTTAAGAATTTGATTAACAAATTTTTCTCAATAAAGCTTAACTCCGCGTCGAATGGAAAAACCTGATTATAAAATTGGCTCGAAAGCAAACGAAATGAGCTAATTAAAATCGTGATTTCGCAACTTTACTTCTTCCAAAAAGTTTTAAGACTTCTAGATTTTAGATGTAAGTGAAGGTTCAATTTCTGGATGAAATGTTCCGTTCTCGATTTTGCCTTCTCAGATTCGTAACTCTAAAATGAATGCACGATCACTGGAGGGCCGGGCGTCGCGAGAAACGGACAAGCATTTTAAAAGCAATTAAACAATTAAGAATATTGATACGGTTCTGAGTAATCGTGTTAATTCAATATACCCGGGGATAAGCTCCGCCCGCGGACACGCGACCGTCAACCACGCGCCCGCAGCTCGCACGCATTCGTACATGACAAACGCATATATGCATGATCGTGCGTAATAATGACGTTTTCGCTGTAAAAATTCAACAAAATCGCAAGAGAAACAACGCCAAGCTCAAAGCATACATATGTGTTTTCTCCTCCATTAACAACTTTGGAATAACACGATAAATGATGAAGTGTTTTCTAAGAACTGTACTTCAAAGACGTAAATAGATAAGAAAATATTATTCCCCGCTATCTTTAGTTTTTAAAAAGCTATATCGCAGACGAATACTTCAAACTGTAAATAATATGTTCGTGCGACTGATTTGTACAATCTATACAATAAAAAGATCTGAAATCTAAAAAAGAATTAATTTAGTTCATGAGAGTTTTCAAATCCGAGTTGGTCGAGATAATTAATTAAGCTGCTTTTTAGCAATTTACATATAGCAGGCTTTTTCAAAAGATATTACAAGTGGTAGAATAAACAAATACTTATCGATATAGCAAAACTGTTTTACAGAATAACTTTTTTATTAATCTCATATGTGCATAAATAAAAAATATAATAACAATTATCTCTAAAAATACTTTATAGAACTTCAAAATGTTATTCGCATAAATGCTAAAAAGTTTTTGCCTAATAATTATTCATGATTGTCTATAAAGGCGATACACGAAATTCCTTTCAGTCTTTATTTTTTTCATTTTTTTTTTAATTATAATAAACTGATACATTTGTAAATACAATGACAGACTTTGAGAGTCAAGTCGATTAAATTGCTCGGACAAAATCGCGTCGCGTAGCGTAATAGGGTAATATATAGGGTAATTAATTACCTCATGCGTTTTCTCCGAATAACGCTGAATCGCTGGCTTCGCAATCGCGAAGACAGATCGCTTTCACGAGAGTCGTCTCAACGCTCCCCGCTCTCGAAATCGCCACGTGAGTCGCGCGTCGACGTAACACCGCGTCAGAAAAACCGCACTTCATCAAGCTTCCACTCGCAAAGGTGCTCGGAGAGCGCGATTGTCCGCTTCTGCGACGATCTCGAGGCGATCGACTCCACGATCTTATCGACACGCGATATTCGACGCTTCACGTCGTTTCCATATCTCGGCCTCTTCGCCGCACGTCCCACCCAAGTGCTCCGTTCTCCGCCTCAGATTTTCGATTTCCACCGCTCTCCTCGCGATCAGCACACCGTCACTTCCGCGTCACGTTGCATCCAATTAGGGTTTATCCCGGGAAAAGTAGGGCGAGCGCCTTGCCCTCAGGCACATGTACCCGCATTAACAATCTTGACAACCTTTTAGAGTTATATCAAAACGATCTCGACTGAAGATACAAGCGCGCAAACGTTGCTTCAATTCAGTTTTTCTCTCGGCACCAACGACTGGAGAACGGATCGTCGTATAGCGCGATAATAATAAACGACTAGTCTCCACCAAGATCTCGGCGAGAGAAAGAGAAAGATAGAGACTCGTTTGCGATTCTGCGAACGATCCAGTCTCTCGCACGCACACCATACACACGCGCGCGTACGCACGCACGCACGCACGCACCAACGCAACGTGGCCGAAACACACCCGCGTGCTCTGATCCGGAGTCAGTCAGATCATGCGTGTCGCTGTACGTCGCCGACGACCTTCGGCGCTACGTCGCGCGGCTCCAATATCGAGCGAACACTCGCGGGATCCTTATCTGCGGCCGCGACTTTTGTCGGCCCGGCAGCGCGCGGCATCGCGCCGCGTCGCAGTAGCGGGCAGCGGCTATCTTCGCGGTTTCTTCCTTTCTTCTTTTTCTCTTTCTCTCTCCTCTCGCCTCTCGCGTCACACCGAGACCGAGGAAACCGCTGATTCTTTTTCTGGGATTTCCGCGCCCGGCCGCTCTATAATCTTTATATCTATTCTAATCGCCCGCGTATTTCCCGACGCGCGTGCCCGTCAAGGCCGTCGCGCAACCTCTCGCGGAGTTTCGCGGCTGATTCGCGAAAAAAAAAAAAAATAAGAAACGGTCCCCGCGCCACCCCTTCCCTCGCGCCGTGCCGTGCCTCTCGCGTGCGAGCGGTCGCGCGACACGATTCGATGCTGAATCCTCTCAAAGACGCGCCCGGTCCCGAGCGATACGCGCGCACGACTGCGCGCGGCAGGCGGCTCGAGCGAACGCGTGCCGACGACCCGACGCGGACGCGACGCAACGCGACGGACGCAACCCCGACGCGTCGCGACGCGACGCTCGTCGCTCCGCGTCATCGCTCTCTCGCGCGGCCGGCGGCCCCCCCAGTAACGTAGCTACGTGCGATCGTAGTAACCAGGTGTACGACTCGAGGTATTTGTGTTTTCGGCGTATATATCGTTAACATCGAGCGCGACGAGCACGTAAACCTTGTTTTGGAATGTCGCAATAAAATGAAACTCCTACGTATGTACATTTAGACGGCTGCACCGTATCGGAGCACCGCATCGTATCGGTGATAACCGTTATCGTGCCCAGACTATTTTTCTTTATCAAGTTTTTTGCCGTTACGTAATTTTGAGTTTATAAGCTCGTCGAGTGTATGTACGTGTTTTTTTCCAAACACGTTAAGATTGCTCTGAACTTTTTAAATGTCGACCGATCTTCATTGCGGATGTTTGGATATCTTTGGATATTCCGATGTTATTTAGTAGTTGTAGTATAATATTCAAATTTCTTTATTATTAATATCGTTACGCTTTCTCTTATGCAAGCATTTTCTTTCTTTCTTCTACACTGATGAATTATTGATACGTACGTTTTTTTAAGTACAATTTTAAATATAATATGTTTACAAAGTATTTTATATAATGCAGTTTACATATAAATTGATGAAGCATAATATTATATTGTTAATTATGCGGTAATATCATCATATCTGTTAAAATAAACTACTACCTACTATCTACTAACATATGAATTAGTGCTTAATTCGATATAGAAAAAATTTCGAAAAGTCCTATCCTTGTTAATAAAAATCCTTCTCTCTCGAAGTAATATCTATCTCGTGAGGTCATCGTTAAGCTAAATATACTTAAGAGGAGATAATATCTCGCGTTATTTAATATAATAAAGATCGAGAAATCTAGATATACAACTAACAGATAATATCACAAGGATACGGGGTGAATATATGTACGCCGCATAGGTCGGGCGACATTCGAGAACCTAAACAAATCAAAGAGGCATTGAAAAAGTACAATACGGTTATCAGTGCGTGAGTTATTTGTATAGAAGTATAAATTATTTGTATAAAATATTCTTTAATTAAAAATAAAATATATAGTTAAACATCGAATTTTTCGGATCTACTTCAAATTATCTTCGGCGATGCGATATTCAATAAAAGCAGAAAAAAAATCTGACATTCTCCGACGAGCTAATTACTTCAAGATTGATCTAAAAATAACATATACTTCACACAAAGTTTGAAGTCCGAATGAGAATTGGCTAATGGATCATAGTCCAAAGAGTTCAAAGAACGTCAGAGTGAAACTTTGGTGAAATATCGAGATAGTAAGTCATGTTGTCAAAGAGGTTGTCGATAGATAAGGTAATAATAAAATCAAAAGAAACGCAGTCGTGTTACATCAGTTAATTATTTCAATTGAAGCTCTTAAAATTTCAAAAAACATGTATATACTATGCTTAGAAATTCGAGGTTACGAAAAAAAGGGATAAAATTGGAAACAAAAGGACTCTGTTAGTTAAAGTGTTAAATTACCGCGTTTTTATCGCGAGAATTAATGAATTCCCGTTCGTCGTGTGTACGCGAGGCTACGGTCATGGATCGGATCTACCATTCAAGCGCATGCGTTGTCGATGATGTCATCGTCATTCGTGTCGTTCTTCAGATACGCTCGCTTGCGTCGTGCGCATATTCCATTGTATTTCTCACTAGCATATTTCTCACACCCATTAAATATACAATACACGTATTCCCTCGGGGCGTACTATGCATCGTAGTAAAACATGCATTAATTTCAATGCATATTACAACTGTGTCTTATCTCCGGTTTCCGCTAGTTTTTGTTTTTATTTTTAGCTTTACGCGTCGGGATTTCTGCGTAGCTAACGAGTATGCATTCGCTCTTTATTTTAACGATTCCACGTTGCTTGCGCATAATATTTACGAATTGTTTATGGCAGCTAGCAATAAAGAAAATCTAATACGTTTTTTATACCTAACGATATTGCATGCATTTTGTGCGTTGCAATATCGTTTGACAAACCGTTTGACAACTTTGGATTCTTGTAATATTAATTAAATATGAATATTAATTAATCGAATAGATAACGAATGAATGATTCAGCATTAAAAAAGAGATGACAATGTTTTGACTGCATAGAAATGATGGCGGTGTCTTTTGTAGCGTAAAATTTGTTTTTACGTTCAAATTCGGAACAAAATAACAACAAATCGATATTAAATTAAAATGATTTTAAACGAAGATTTAATTTATAAACGTAAAAAATATTCTAACGTTGCGCAAGGCATATGAATTCCAGTGTGCACGTCGAAGCCGCCGAAAGATATTGATGATACCAATGTATATTCTCACAGATATACGCACATACACATACACACACGAGTGTTTACAGATAATATATATATTTACACAGATATCGTAGGAAAATCAAGAGACACGGTCGTGCCTCGTGTCACGCGCAATAACGTTTACACAGATACGGTAGGAAAAGTGCTGCTATATATAACTACAATATATATACAATGATAATCAAAAAGCGTTTACTTATCAGTCTTACAATAAAAGTACAACAGAAGTATCGGATAATTGAGAAAACAAATTACGGGAATAATATCGCGAGAGATTTATTTTTTGAATTTTTAAAGTGAGACGTAGTAGACGCGCCGCGAGTCAAAGAAACAACGCAACTGATTATAAATCAACAACGCAAATATCTATATATTATATATATGAAAACAAATGTCCTGACTGACTGACTTATCAACCCCTAGAAACATGAAATTTGGAGAGTATATTCCTTCCATGGCGTAAGCACCTACTAAGAAGGGATTTTTAGAAATTCGACTCCTAAGGGGGTGAAAAAGGGTAAAATCTGTTTTCATGGATTCCTCAATATCTCTTAGGCTCGATGAGATATCGACTTGGTTTTTGCTTACAAAGGTTACCCATACAAATGCTTAAAAACATAACTCATCAGGATTTTACCCTAATCAATTCTTAAAGGGGCAAATCAAAGATTCGGGGGTGAATTATAAAATTCTTCGCATACCGTAGCGAAGTACGGATATCAAAGCTAGTCGACAAAATAAGCGAGTGAGGTACGAGAGTAATGACCACTGTATCCTCAATGAAAACTTCGCAGACAATTCGTGTCCATTGCCATGCCTTTAACTTCATTCATTCGTTTTACATTACCGTAGGTTTAGGAATTTGATTTTGTTTCTCGCGAGCAGACAGTCGGCCTTATCATTTCCAGATTGACGGCCGATAACGCGTATCTCTCGAGCGCTCGAACGCTTATTAGGTGCGTTGACCAACATTTCGTTCGAGCGTCGGCATCGGATGCCGTGCATCTGCTTTACAATAAATATAAAGAAGAACCCGGTGAACGATGAGACGAAGGAGGATTTTCTGACTCATCGAGACGGTTTATTTCTGCCGACGCTGTTCACCGACTATCGCGCACTATAACTGCGTTGTCTAGTCTAGCTAAATTTATTCTTATTATTAATTTTATTTGCGTCCTTTTTCTTTGTTAACTTGTCGAAAACGCCTGTCGCTCGTTCGCAAAATCTGTTCCGATCGTGTCACAAAGTGAACGAGCATCATTCTTTCTTTCTTTCCCCTTTCATCTCGTGCTTCCTCTTTTTTTCTTCTCGCACTGGTAGATCGCATCATCGCGGAACCACTTCCGAGGAAGGCCGACCGGTCCGATTTGCGCTCGGAGATTGAGCCGGTTACGATATCCGCGAGCTAAATTAGTCACGGTTTTCTCGCTTGGCTAGCCAGTGATTGTTATCAACCGTAAATAGACATAAACAGATAGCGCACTTGTTGTTAGACTTTAGAGGAATCATCAATGTCATGGACTGCGGTAGTAATTTATTCGGAATAACATTTACAAAACAATACGTATCGATATATATGTTAACTATTGAATAAACTATATGTGCGGAATAATTATATAGAATCATCGACGCGCTAATATGAATTAACGTTAAAAATGTTGATAAATATGTGATAAATAATAAATAATACGGTTTTTTGAACAGAGAAATATTGCAGATATGATTATTAAAGTCTTCTAATATTAATTTTAAGCATTATATGTGAACATTATTGAGATTTATTTGCTGGCTATTTTTAAAATAATTTTTATTTTACGTATCGTAGTAACTAATGATTTTCTTACAGAGTTTAACGATTGAGACTAAATTTTTCGTAAGTTAAACTTCAAGAAGATGAAAAACAAATAAATCTTGGAGTTACAACCTTTAATTAGCTTTAATTAGTTTTAACTGGAAACTTTAACAAAATTCTAGTGTCAAGATTAACTACGAAAATATAAGAACGTTGGATGTAAATAATGATTTTTTTTATTTTTTTCATCCTAAGGTGAAATAAATTTTAAATTAAAATCAAATGTCCACGAAACATAATTAAAAAGATTCTTAGTGGTTTTAGAATCATTCTATACATTTTTATATAAATTAATACAACTAATCAATGTAATAATTGCAAATCTTTCAGCTTATTTAGACGAGTAGTGAATACCGAATTAAGTAGATTGAAAGAAACATCGAATTAAATTGAAAGCTTGTTTGTTCGCATCTATCTATTATACCTTTGGGATGACATCGATCTCATGTTCGCTTTTCAAGGCGAACTTAACACATATGTTAAGCTTAATCATATTCTATATGAAGAAACCGCAGAAGGAAGTTAAAATCAGCTATTAATACGATCGTTTATCGGGAATTGTCGGGTATCGTTGCGTCGGGCGTAGAACGATTTACAAAGTAAAGCACGAGCAACAAAGAAGATTGAAAGATATCTAGCGGGGAAAGGGAACGGGCCGGACTTAAAGCCATTCGTTCACGCACGTTGTGCGAGACGCA